TATTCTAGTTCTATTTGTTTTCGTGGAACACAAATGATTAATTTGACTAATTTTTTTTAAAAATGAAATGATCAAATAAACTAGAAATACTGCTTGTGTATGGTTTAGAGAATAGATACCTGTTCCCGGCTCTGTTGCTAATTATGCAACCATGAGCCAGTCACTGGGTCTTCGTCTCCAGGTTGGTAAAACCAGAATTAGAGTATCATTTCTATCTAGAGTACGGGACTGCCGTAGAGATCAAGTCAGACAACCTACATTGTCAGCACATTAATTAATGATGAATTAATTAATGAATGAGGCAGTCCTTTACAAGTTATTAAGCCCTAAACAAATGTGAGATGTTGTCTGCATCAGCACAACCACACCATCTGTATCCCTAGAGGTTTAAGCAAAGGGAGAGAGCATTCTATGGGGGATGCTTGCAGTGTGTTCCTATCCTATTTGGGGCCCCTCATGGATACATACTTGGGAAGTAAGGGGTCAAAACTTTACCCAAGGCCACAGACTCTCAGAATTTACATAAGTGAATTTTGTTAGTATAAAAAAATAGAAGATGTTCTACTCACTTGCTTTGGAAATTAAGAACAGAAAATACAGAACTTCATTCAAGAAATATAAAAGAGGAGGCAGCAGGAAATGATGGAAAGAACATGAACTCTCTGGGGGCCAGGACTGGGACTCTGGTCCTTGCTCTGCCAGTATTTAACTGCAAAGCTGCAAAATGTGTCAAAGGAGAGAAACATATTAGCTGACCCTTAAAATCCACAGAGCACCAAATGAAATATAACAAATAATCTAAAATATGCCTTAATTTTTATATTTATGGACAATCAAGGGAAAGGGGAAAAACAGAGCAAAGAATGAGACAGATGGACAGAAAGAGAGGAAGAAAATTAATGGTAAGGAAAAAACAGAGAGACCAAGGAGCAGACACACACAAATTCTACCCCCAACTTTCTCCCCTCTAAAAAAAGAATTTTATGAATGAAGAGACAGAAGAAAGATACACACTAACAAAAAGACATTCAGATATAGAAATAAATATGCACATAGAAACTTTGGTGGAGTTATGCTCTTATTTTTTTCACCTTGAAACTTTTGAACATAAAACTACCAAAAATATTTTAATGTAATGTTGTGCTTTTGCATTAAAAAGTTACAAATGGAGCAAGTTTAAAGCAAGTGTCTCATGGGCTAGGTACAATCAAGTTGAAGGTTGAGGATTAACATCTACCATATGCTACTCACATTTCTGAGCAAAATGTCACTTGATAATTTGGGCTCTCACATTCATGGGTCAATTTCAACCAAACAAGCCAAAGATGAACTCTCCTAAAATAGAAATGAATCCCAAGAATTTTTTTATGAATCAGGGCTTAGCGTTACTTTGTTTCCAGATAGGAAGGATTTAAATATTTTAACTTAATAGTTACCTATTATGTAAAGTATAAATCCCACATTGCCATTTAAAGTCCATATTTGAGGATCTTCCTGTTAATCTTCTCTGTTTTGTGGAGAGGTCACTGAATAATATAATTCCAGCACTCCCCTTTGATTCCCTTCCAGATGAGGCCCAGCCAACCTTCTTTAAGATTTTCTGAACTCCAAGCATCTATAGAAGTTTATAGACTGGGGAGCTAATTTGTACTTTGCTACAAACCAGCATTCAGAAGTGTACAGGGATCCCCACCCAATTTCAGACCTGCTGTTATAGGATGCTGATAAGTAATCCCCATTCACTAGGAAGACATTCCAGATTGACAAGAATAGGCAACACAAGCACTCCCGATGTTTATTCCTATCTCTATTACCAATCAGCTAGAAACTCTGCAAAATTATATGAATTTTCACATCTGCAAAGAGAAAACTGTTATTAGACTTAACCTCTGCAGGATCCATAAGAAACTTTTCTTTCCTATAGACAACAAGAGCCAAAAGAAAAAAAAAACACAAAGAGCTTTCTGGTTTTGCTTAGATTTATCTATAGACCTCGAACTTTTCTGTACTTTGATTTCTCTATGAAATTGAACTATAAAAATCCCACTCCTTCCCAAGAAACTTGATATTGGAGAATAATACAGTAGATATGAAAACATTCATAGCTCTTGGAGGACGGGGGTTAGATCAATCCAGTCCAAATGACTGAGACATTCAATAAGAATAGTAACAACAATAATGTGCACTTGAATTTGCACAGTGTTTAACAGTTTATAAAATGTTTTAAATATATTATTTCATTGGCCTTTATAACAAGGTGTGACATAGGGAGGCCATTATTTATTTTATTTGACAGATAAAGAAACTGAGATCAAGAGGAGAATGACTTGCCCAAAACCAAACAGCTAATTACCAGCAGGACATGTCTAACAGGAAGTCTACAGATCATTCTAGCTTACCAAATCATACATGTAGTTATTGCCTTTTTCCTTTTCATTCCTTTCCTCCTCCAAGTGAAGCTTTCTTGGTAGGAGGCCTCTAATTAACAGCCACATTTATTTCTCACTTATAGTCCTAACCTATCAACTGTACTTAAAAGACAGCTTGAAACTGTCTTAAAATTCTCCTTCAGCCAGTGTCTGTGAACTCTAGGCCTGCAGAACCCTGAATCATCCAAGCCTTATATCTTCATTTTGAATAACACAGCTTATACATTTTGCTATTTCTCCTATCACCACATTGCACCTGAGCCACAGATTAGTTTCTTGAGATTTTATAAATTATACTGTCTTTTTAGGATGATTAATGTGAAATTAAGAAGTAATAATAATAAAATAAAATATACTGTCCTCAACAGTTCTATTCACCTGAGTGTGTGTGTGTGTGTGTGTGCACACATATATGCATGTTTTCGTTCTTTCTTTTTTTGAGACAGGGTCTTGCTATGTTGCCCAGGATGTAGTACAGTGGCTATTCACAAGTACAATCATAGTGTGCTGCCCACTGCAACCTTGATCCCCTGACTTCAAGCAATCCTCCCATCAAAACCTCCCAAGTATCTAGGACTATAGGCATGCATCACTACATCCAGCTCATCTGTGGTATTTTTATGGTGCTCCTCATTGTGATATCCATTATTGAAACCACGACAGACATAAGCACTTTGAAATGATTTTTTTCCAATAAGAATCTGCTAAACCTTTGAACTTAAGGAGAATGAAAGAGTAGGCAGGCCAAGGGAAATTTCAAACAGCAAACAAAAATTCATTCTCTTTCATTCCTATTGCTGTCTCCTTTGTTGATATTATTTGTGTTGTTTTCCTCAACTTCCTGAAGTACGAAACAAAGTGAGGAGTTTAGTTTTTTGTTTTTCCTTTGCTCTCTTTTAACGTATCCTATTCAGGCCAGAAATCTTGGCACTTAGAATGACATAGAGTTTATCCAGCCAGTTGTACATCCTGGAGTGAGAAATTCCACTGAATATGACCATCCTAAAACTATGCGGAGTCATAAGACCAGGGCCCCCCTTTCCTTTGGAAGTTAGAAGAATGATCTGGAGGAAGAAAGAATTAGAGGAATGCTTTCTAAATAAAGTTAATTCTGTGTAACAGATCACTAGACACTGGCTGCCTTCCTTCCTTGCCCTGATCCCCAGAATCTGAGTAATGTACCCAAAAACTGCCTATGCAGAGTATGGTTTCAGCACCAGAGAGTGGCAGAAGTGAGAAGAGAAGGCACATGCTATTCCACAGCAGGCGTGTTCTGTTATTCTGGCACCCAGATAAAAGGTCAGACTTGCTCAGACCAGTAGAGCTGACAAACTATATACAACATACATGCACTGAGTACCCACTGTATGCTCTGTGTTGATGCTGAGGGACAAATTCTGTTGCATGTTCTTATTTAATCCTCACAACAACTTAGACAGATAGATATTATTTATCTCCATTTTACATATAAGAAAATTGAGGAAGGGTAATTGGCTTATGTCAAAGTCATAGAAATACCAAGTAGTGATATTCCAATTAGAACCTGTCTTAGTCCATTCGTGATACTATAAAAAAAACACCACAGGGTAATTTATAAACAATGGAAAGTTATTTCTCACAGTTTGGGAAGATGGGAAGTATAAGATCAAGATGCCAGCAGGTTCAGTGTCTGGTGAGGCTGTCATCTTCCAGAATGGCACCTTGTTGCTATATACTCACATGGTAAAAGAGACAGAAGGGATGAACTCACCTTTTCAAGACTTTTTATAAGGCACCAATCCATTCATGAGAGCAGAGCCCTCATGACCTAATCATCTCCTAAACGCCCCATCTCCTTTTTTTTTTTTGAGTTGGAGTCTCATTCTGTCACCCAGGCTGGACTGTAGCATCAACTTGCTGGTCTCTGGCGATCCTTCCACCTCAGCTTTCCAATTAGCCGGAATTACAGGCGCACGCTACCACACCCGGCTAATTTTTTATTTATTGTACAGATGAGGTCTCCCCAAGTTGCCTGGGTTGGTCTCGAACCCACGGGCTCAGGCAATCCACTTGCCCCAGCCTCCCAAAATGCTGGGATTACAGGCTGAGCCACCAAGCCCGGCTGGCCCCATCTCTTAATACTGTTGCTTTGGGGCTTAGGTTTCAACATGAATTTTAGAGGGGACACAAACATTCAAACAAACCATAGAAGGACCCAACTTCAAACATAGACTCTGGCCTCCGTAGCACAATCCCTATCCTTATGACTTTTAACGTCTTTTGGAAGAAGTAGGAGTGTACCCAGATGTTCCTAAAGAGAAAGAAAAGATAGACCTGGTAGGGGTAGAAACGTATATTGGGGCTGCTTGTATAGTTAAAAGGACACTGTTATATTTCCCTTCCTCACTGACTCTAAAGACTATACTGATGGGACAAATAAAGCACCCTGAGATGACCGGAGGGTAAGGGTACACAGAACTCCTGGATATTTCTCCTATATCCTTTCAAGGGCATTGTTCTATCCACAGAATTATCCATATTATAAAGAACTTGCATTGATATTCCTGGTTCTGTTTAATTTTTTAGGGTCTCAAGAGTGTGCTCAAGCCATTCATGTGTTTCTATCAAAAATAAGACAAAGATCAGGGAAGATTAGACCCTACTAGTTTCTCATTTGAAGCCTGAGAACAAAGTGCTTTCAAGAATTGATGGCAAAAATATCCACCCATAACACAAGTAAGCTTAGAAAATCTCCTTACAATCCTGACATAATGGACGTTTCCCTAAACCACCCAGCATCTGATAAAACCAACACAAAGAACAACAACTCTGCATTTTTTTACTTTGAGTCCTGTCAACCGCCTTCTCTGGCCTTACTCCTATTGCTCATAGCCTACGCTGTGGTCTTAATTGTGGGTCTTTTTGGAAATCTCTCTCTCATCATCATCATCTTTAAGAAGAGAGAAGCTCAGAATGTCACCAACATACTGATTGCCAATCTCTCCCTCTCTGACATTTTGGTGTGTGTCATGTGCATTCCTTTTACTGCCATCTACACCATGATGGACCACTGGATATTTGGGGATACCATGTGCAAACTCACCTCCTATGTGCAAAGTGTCTCCATCTCTGTGTCCATATTCTCACTTGTATTAATTGCTGTTGAAAGATATCAGCTAATTGTGAACCCCCGTGGCTGGAAGCCCAGTGTATCTTATGCCTACTGGGGAATCACACTCATTTGGCTGTTTTCCCTCCTGCTGTCTACCCCCTTCTTCCTGTCCTACCATCTCACCGATGAGCCCTTCCGCAACCTCTCTCTCCTCACTGACCTCTACACCCACCGGGTGGCCTGTGTAGAGAACTAGCCCTCCAGAATGAATCAGCTCCTCTTTACAACCTCCCTGTTTATGCTCCAGTACTTTTTCCCTCTGGGCTTCATCCTCATCTGCTACCTGAAGATTGTTGTCTGTCTCCACAGAAGAAATGGGAAAGTAGACAGGAAGAGGGAACATGAGAACAGGCTCAGTGAGAACAAGAGGATCAACGCAATGTTGATTTCCATCGTGGTGGCCTTTGGAGTCTGCTGGCTGCCCTTGAACGTCTTCAATGTCATCTTTGACTGGTATCATGAGGTGCTGATGAGCTGCCACCATGACCTGGTATTTGTAGTTTGCCACTTAGTTGCTATGGTTTCTACATGTATAAACCCTCTCTTTTATGGCTTTCTCAACAAAAATTTCCAAAAGGATCTGATGGTACTTATTCACCACTGTTTTGCACCTCAAAAAAGATATGAAAATATTGCCCTCTCCACTATGCACACAGAATCTAAAGGATCTTTAAGACTAGCCCATATACCAACGGGTATATAAAAGTTGACAACACAATGCTGAAGTCCTTCTTGAATGGGAGATGGAGACGTAATGACTGAGGTCAGGGCAAGATGCAGAAAGAAGAAGCCAGAACCAAAAACCTACAACTTTATGCCCAGTTTTGCTTTAGACTAAGACCATCTCCAACACATCCTCCAACACACACAGACACACACATCACCCTCTTTCCTTTTTCTTAGAAGAATAACTCTAATAATTCAAACAACCTGGTTGCCATCATTTGTGGCAGAGAATGAGAATGGGAAAGCAGACAGTGAGGCAAACAGCAGTGATGTCTAGAAAACAAAGTTCATGGATCTTTCTATTAAATGGACTAGCCACAAAAAGTATTACTTTTTTTATATACCTTGTAATAACCAAGGCTATACCTCCCTAACATTGAAGCAATTCTAATTTCAGATATGAAAACTACAACTTTCAATCATATAACTATTCAACTAATTAGCCAAGTCAGAAAATCTCCCATTATAATTTATTATAATTTAATAATTACATTTGGATTAAAGCTGAAGGAATGGTTTAACTTAACATTTCAACTAAGTATTGTAATTACAATTAGCTCCCATATCTGAATCAACTTCTCTAGTTTATGATAACCATACATTTTCTTCACTAACAATGCTATTAGAACTGGCCACAAATTCTTTAGCACTCCAATTACACTAGAAATCACTCTAACAAACTTATTAATGGCCAATGTAGATAGAGCTTTCCTCACAAAATGGCTTTTTTCCCCTAATTCTTTATGTATATTAGTAGAGGTCATTATGACTTTGTCATTGGGTCTGAGGAATTTTGTCAGTAGCACTTTTATAATTAGCTCTTGATTTTTAAAACCTCTCATATGTTTTATGACTTAAACATTTTTAAAATATCTAATCCTCACAAAGCCACTTAACGTAGGGAAGTCCGCTAGATTGTTCTCAAAAGATACTGACTGCTTAAATAGCCATTAACTCAGTGACTTTTATTAAATCATGACAGGCTTTATTGCTTCCTTGAACAAGCCTCTCTTATATCTATTAAATATGAACTGCAGCTTATTTGCATGTTAAAAATGTATTCTCTTTTGAATAAAAAGTAATGTTTCTGAATACCTGTGGTTTTAAGTTTTTTTTTTCTTCTTGCAATGAGCTTCATGTTATCCCCCTTCTGAAATTCTCTCTCCCTCCCCCCTCCCTCCCTAATCCTCTCTTTTTTCTTTCTCTTCAGAATTTTTCTTCTCTATTATATCATTTTGGGGATAAATGAACAACAAAAGCACTGCAAGACACCTAAATGAAAGAAAATGTAACAGTCTCACAGTAATAATTGCAAATAATATTTTGTTTACTTGGTAAAGAAATACTGACTTTTGTTTCCATTGCTAAAATGATTCTGATCAAACCACTGAAAGCAGAAAAGGGCATCAAACTCTAATACCCCTCCCTGGTTTCACCCACACATCCAGTCTTCTCTAACCTAGACTCCCACCCTGAGTATGCTGAAGAGATTGGCTGTATAGGTATGATTAGATATTATGGTGCTTTTCTGGTTCCAAGAACAATTTTCTTCCATAAAGTTGTTTTGTTTTTTTTCTTTTAAACTTTTCTTGAGCACTAATAAAACAAAAGTCATTAATGGTATAGCTACCAATAATAGTCTTTCTTATGTTTATATTTATCTCAAAAAGGTAGTGAAGCAAATACATTTTTTCATTGCATGCCTTTACCTTTAAGGGATTTCCATTCTGACAGGTAGGAGAACACAGGTCTGTGAGTAGCTACTTAAGAAAAGTATAATGGAAAGATAAACCAAGTGTCATGGGGGCCCAGCAGAGCTAAAACTTATATATAAGAGGAAACATTTCAGAAAATCAGCCTTCATATCCTCTGTTTTGGCAATATTCTTGCAGAGTTCACACCAATTTGCTCTACTGTTGAGTCAACTGGTAAATGAAATACATCCTCATCTTCTCATTTGCCTCTCCCCAGTTGCCAGTTCGGCCTGTATTCTCTCTTTTAGGAGACTAGAACTTCATGATGTTTGCCAGATAGCCCTGGAAACAGATTCCTCTAGTCAGTACTCCAAAAATCTTCTATCCTCTGACCATTTTGAATTGAGAGTAATTTCTCATATCTTTAAAATTGTGTCAAAAAGTCTATAAGTGGAACAAATAAGTGTTTATCTATGCCCTCAAAGAATTAGTAAATTATTCTGAATGTGTCTGTCCAATGAACCAGAGCTGAATGAGAAAATGCTAAAGCATCCCTACAAAAAGTCCCCTAAGTTTTTCTCTCTACCTGAACAGCATAGTTCATTAACCTAATGAAGAGTCAATCTCTCTTCCTATAAGTTTTGTTTTTTGTAGCATAATAAATCAAGAAAAATATATTAAGCCCTTACTATGTACTAAGCACTGTGTTAGGTATAAAGAAAGTAAAAGACCCAGCTTTTAAGACTTTACAATCTAGCTAAGGTTTTAAAAGGTTTACATATACCAGAGGAATATAAATGTCCTAGATTTGAAGACTTTCTTTGTTTTTTTAATTTACTTTTTTAAAGTTACAGTAAAGTTGGCAAATAAAAATCTTATATATTTATGGCAAACAATATTTTTTGACATTTCTACACATAATGAAATTGTTAGATCCTATCCATTATCTCACATACTTATTTTTTGTTGTGAGAACATTTACGATCTACCGTCTTAGCAATTTTGAAGAATATAATACATCATTATTTACTTATTTACTATAGTCACCATGATTATCAATAGATCTCTTCAATTTATTTCTCTCGACTGAAATTTTGAATCCTTTGACCCATATCTACCCAATTCCACCATCATCCCCCAACTCCTGGTAACCACCATTCTACTCTCTGCTTCTATGAGTTCAACATTTTTATATTCCACATAAAAGTGAGATCATGCAATATTTGTCTTTCTGTACCTGGCTTATTTCACTTAGTATAATGTCCTCCAGATGCATCCCCACTGCAAATATCAGAATTTCCTTCTTTTTAAGGTCAAATAGTATTCCACTGTATATATAAACCACGTTTGCTTTATTCATCTGTCAGTGAACACTTCGGTTGATTCTCTATCTTGGCTATTGCAAATAGTGCTGTAATAAACATGGGAGTTAATTACAGGCATCTCTTTGACATATTGATTTTAATTCCTTTGATTGTATACCCAGTAATGGGATTGTTATTTCTTAATTTTTTTAATTTTGAGGAAACGCCATACTATTTTCCATAATGGCTGTACTAATTTACATTCCCACCAATAGTGTTCAAAAATTCTGAAGAGTTTTCTTCTGGCTAGGTTGAAAGCTACCTAAGAGAAAGTTAACTCTAAAGGCAGAGTTAATATCAAAGGACTCAACTTACCTTTATATCCATAAGTGAGAATATGCTGGGGAAGAGAAGAGGAAGCCCACTAGATAAGGGGGAAAGTAGGAGTATTTCAAGATGTGATAGGTCCAGGAATCAGGAAAATCCTCCTTGAAGTCACCCATGCAATAAATGTGCTCATGCAATAAACTGGAGAAAAAGAAGATGAATATTTCCAGTGGGTTAAGGAAGCAAGGCAGGTCTCTTTCCCCTGTTTCTATGCCCAAATCAAGCTCCCTGTTGAGGTTAGAATAGTGTTTCACCTGAGGAAGAAGTGAAGAGATGTATGGTGCTGGTGACAGGAACGGTCATTGACTATTTTCCATTATTCTCTATTTTAGGTAAATAAGTCTGTTATTCTCACCTAGACTGAATTTTCAGAGATCTTGTCCCACATCTTTTATTCAGTCTATACCAACCTCCTCACTGTGCACCAGAGTGTTTAAAATAGAAGTAGGTAGGAAAAAAACATTTCATACATATAGATCTTGAAAGTTATTTCTTAAAAAAAAAACAAGTTATAAAGTAATTACTTATTGAATACTTGAGTGTTTTCAAACTTATGTTTTGCTAATTATGCAATGAGAGCACAAAGACATAATCCTAACTACACAGAGATTATAGTAATGTCAACAAGCCGTGAAATCTTGAGTCCTTGAGGATTCTGCTTAAACATTTCTCAACATTCCCCAGGGCTATTAGGATCCCCTACTCACTGCTCCAGAGTACCCTTTGTATACATAGCATGTAGTACTATGAAGACCTGTCTACATATGTACCTCTCCCACAAGACATGAGTTCCTTGAAGGCAGGAGTGTTTCTTATTCATTGCAGTGACTCCAGCACCAAGCAAGTATAGCATCTGGCACAAAGTGGATGCGGGGAGGCTCAACAAATATTTGTAAACTATAGGTGTAGAATAACATCTGGGGATTACAAATCTTTGTTTGAAAGCAGTACATGGATCTGAATAGTAAACGGGGCCTACACTCTCTAGATCTAGTGAATGCAAAAGTTCTATCTGAAATACAAGAGCTCAGATCTGCACTGGCAGGAGGACAAATGAAATCACACCTTGGTAAAGGGAGGCTCGAATATCATTTGCCAATAAGAATTGTGCAGTGAGATAGCTGGGCAGGTCCTGGGACTGGAAGAAAATGCTTTATTAACTTCTAAATAGCAGGTTCTTGGAAAAAACAGCTTTTAGAAATGAAAGACCTTCTAGGGAAACCAGCCTCCAGGAGAGTGGGCCCTTAAGATTCTATTAGAGAAATCATACTCTCTAAAAGACTAGTGCATGGCAGAACTTCAACCTTTTCAGTGAGCCAAAGTCTTCTCTAATAAGGGAACAGCCTAAAAGTAAAAGCT